GGTAGAGTGTGATAAAATGTCCCCTGATTTGCAAATACTTCTGTGGCATCTCTTTAGCTATTGCTTTCTGTGATAAATTCTGGTTTTATGTGTTTATTAAATGACTGTGTTTTAAATATGCTGCTAACTAGAGCTAAATGGTTATTGCAAATAAGAGATATGTCTAGTGCTACCAAGATGGCACTAGACAGTGGAGATGCAGTCTGTGTGAGGAAGCGGAGGACAGATGGGGAAGGGACACAGTCAGATGAGGGAACATGGCGAGCTTGATGAAACAGGGAGCTAAGGGTGGCTCCCTCCCTGAGGGCGGGAGAAGGCTCAAGGGAGCAGAAGGCTTCTGCCTGTGTCTTCCTCATATGTTCAAGGAAAGAGGAATTTGGACCAATGATAGGATTAGGGTGGAACTGGAAGGAAGAAAATAGGTTCTCCAGGAACAAGCCAAGAGCAAACAAATTAGAGATGGGAATAGCCATGCTCAGAGGATGGGGGAGATGGGCTTCTCCAGAAGAATGGCTGGGCCTGAAATGTGCCAGGTGCCTAATCCAGAACCCGACAAGTCGGTTGATTCATTGGAGGAATAACAAAGTTGATCACCAGAGAAACGTATCTCCAAATCTAGAGAACACTGAGCTTTAAATCTAATTTATGTGCCTATGATTTCTCAAATCTGTATTACTTTGGCTTTTATACGTTCTCAAACCTTTATTAAAACTTGTTTAAATGCAAACATATTGACTTAAAATCTTGCCTGATTGTATATCTCAGCACAAAGTATAAGTTCTGCGTATATGTGTTGATTTTCTGAGATGATATTTCAATAATTGGACCAATCACTGTCATCATCAGACTTATAATGAAATAAAATGACCTAATTATAGTCACCTCTTTTCTCTCTTCCATTGCATTTTTAGAAAGTGGGTCAAAGTCAATAGGATATTTGTGTTCTTTTCCTGCTTCCACTTCATTAACTTGAGTATTCATTTCCCGAATATAACCAAATTTATTAAATAAAAAGGATGGGATATGGAATAAAGAAAAAAATCACTGCTGTCGCGCTATATGTTAGGTACATCTCTCTCCCATACAGCAGAACTGCTCACCTTCCAGTTCTAGAAAAGTTCTTATCTTTTAGTGACTTGTAAACACTACTTTCTTTCTTTAGGTGGAATGGCTGAAGAATGAGGAGCCCATCAACTCTGAACAAGATGAGAACATTGACACCAGAGCTGACCACAACCTGATCATCAGGCAGGCGCGGCTCTCGGACTCGGGGAATTACACCTGCATGGCAGCCAACATCGTGGCCAAGAGGAGGAGCCTGTCCGCCACCGTGGTGGTCTACGGTAAGACCAGCCCGCAGGCCAGGTGCGGGTCGGGAGAACGAAAGCAGAGAAGTAGAGGGATGTGTATGCTTTTAAAACTTTGAACATTTAGAGATGAAAAGACATTGGGGGTTGTCCAGTGCCGTACTCTGTTCTGCCTCCCCCATTTGGCAGCAAGAAAACACCCCTATTGCTATGAATGGGTTTGCTGTTCCATCCGCTGTTAGACTTCCATGAGATAGTCAGTGACATTTCCAATCTCTTTCTTCTAAAAATAATGAAAACGTTGTTTATTTTCTTCCATTGTGTTTATATTTGAAAGCATGTTAGACTTCCATGAGATAGTCAGTGACATTTCCAATCTCTTTCTTCTAAAAATAATGAAAAAGTTGTTTATTTTCTTCCATTGTGTTTATATTTGAAAGCACTGAGATGGGCACCTTCTGCTTGCCACCCCTCCCAAACCCAACATCCTGCCCCATCCTTCCC